GGTTAGTACTTGTACTCATCCTGCTGCTAGTTCATTCATTCTCGTTTGTAACTTTAACATGGAATCAGAGCAGGTTCCTTGGGCCCACCACCTGCTGCGCTGCTAGTACCCCGCCCCCAGGCCCGTCGAGCCCCTTAGGCCCGTCGCGCCACCCCACGGCCCCTTGGCCCGTCGCGCTCATCGCCCCCTTCGCCCCTAGCCTGGCGCCCCGTAGGCCCGTCGACCCCCGGCACGTCGCCCCTAGCCCGTCGACCCCCGGCCCGTCGCCCCCAGCTAGTCGCCCGTCGCCACCTAGGCACGTCGCCCCGCGGCCCGTCGCCCGTCGCCACCTAGCCCGGCGCCCCGTAGGCCCGTCGACCCCCGGCCCGTCGCCCCTAGCCCGTCGACCCCCGACCCGTCGCCCTAGGCCCGCCGCCCCCGGCTCGTCGCCCGTCGCCACCTAGGCACGTCGCCCCGCAGCTCGTCGCCCATCACCACCTAGCCCGGCGCCCCGTAGGCCCGTCGACCCCCGGCCCGTCGCCCCTAGCCCGTCGACCCCCGGCCCGTCGCCCTAGGCCCGTCGCCCCCGGCTCGTCGCCCGTCGCCACCTAGGCCCCGCGCGACCCACGGCCCCCCTCTAACGACCCACGGCCCCTTGGCCCCTCGCGACTCACGCCCCCCTCTCGCGACCCACGGCCCCTCGTGACCCACGGCCCCTCTCGCGACCCTAGGCCCCTCGCGACCCACGGCCCCTCTCGCGAACCTCGACGCACGACCCACGGCCCTTAGGCCCCTCGCGGCCCCTAGGCCCCTCGCGACCCACGGCCCCTCTCGCGAACCCAGGCCCCTCGCGACCCACGCCCCCTCCCGCGACCCACGGCCCCTTGGCCCCTCGCCCCTTGGCCCCTCGGCCCTGTGGCCTCGTGTTTGGCCCCTCGGCCCCGCCCCTCGGCCCCTCGGCCTCTAGGCCCGGCCCCTCGGCCCCTTGGCCCCTTGGCCCCCAGGCACCTCGGCCCCTCGGCCCCTAGCCTCGGCCCCTCGGCCTCGTGTTTGGCCCCTCGGCCCCGCCCCTCGGCCCCTCGGCCCCTAGGCCCCTTGGCCCCTCGGCCCCTAGTCCCCTCGGCCTCTCGGCCCCTAGGACCCTTGGCCCCTCGGCCCCGCCACCCTCGTGTTTGGCCCCTCGGCCCCTAGGCCCCTCGGCCCCGCCCCTTGGCCCCTTGGCTACTGCTGCTGCTGCTCCTGCTGCTACTGCTGCTACTACTGCTCCTGAGTGCTGCGCCACTATGGCTTCGCTTAAAGTTCTAGCGTTCGATCATGAGGGCAGACCGGTTGCATTTGACACGTGGCACGACGATCTGCAACTGTACCTACTGAGCGATATTAAGGACAGTGTCTCACTGTTTGACCACGTGTCCGGTGTCGCTCCAGCCCCTCCCGCCACAGCTGACGGTGGGACTCGTTCCCAGTGGCTGTCTCGTGACGCTACTGCCCGCTTAGCATTTCGCAACCACCTGCCGGTGGCCGAATGTACTCACTTTGGACAGCACAGGACAGCACAGGCCATGTACGACGCTGTCGTTGCTCGCTACTCCTCCCCTGCCACTGCTGCTCTAGGCAGACTGCTACTGCCCTACCTGTTCCCTGAGCTGTCGGCTTTTGCCACCGTAGCGGACCTGGTTACCCACCTACGCACTAGCGACGCTCGCTACCGCGCTACTGTCCCTGCTGAGTTCCTTGCCACGAACCAGCCCCCCATGTTCATCACCCTCTACTTCATAGTCTCTCGCCTCCCTGACTCTCTTCGCTCTGTCAGGGACCACTTTCTCTCTCTTGACCCCACCTCCCTCACTGTTGACCTCCTCGAGCAGCATCTCCTTGCAGCTGAGACTAGCGCAGTTGCTGTAGGTGCTGCTCGTGGCACTCCGCGCCCGCCCTTCTTTGAGGGGTGCTCCCCCTCCCCCCTTTCCCCCTCCTTCGCCTCTGCTGCTGCTGCAGACGTCTCTGTTACTGAGGACGTCGGTGCTGCTTCGACTAGTGCGAAGCGCCGCAGCAGCAAGGGCAAGGGTGGCCGGGGTGGTGGAGGTGGCAGCGGTGGTGGTGGAGGTGGCAGTGGGAGCGGTGGTGGGGGCAGCGGTGGAGGTGGTGGAGGCAATGGAGGTGGTGGCGGCGGTGGGGCTGGTGGCGGCATTGGGGGCTCTGGTGGCGGCAGTGGAGGCAGCGGAGGGAGTGGCGGCAGTGGAGGCGGTGGGTCTAGTGGTGGCAGGTCTGGACCTCGGCGTGGAGGCCCTGGTGATGGTCAGCGACAGCAGCAGCAGCGTCGGAGCGAGACCCAGTCGCCCCAGCAGCTCCGTGAGTGGTTTGTTCAGCGTGGGACGGGTGGGGGTAGTGAGACCTGCCCGTATGTCATTCGCACGGGTGTCCGTGCGGGCCAGACATGCGGGAAGTTTCACACTGAGCACCGCTGCTTCTCCCGCCTTGACGACGCCTGGCGTGCTGAGTTTGGTGACGACGTCGAGCGCCCTCGCTGGACGGATTTGCTAAGGTCGGGAGTTGCTATCTTTGACCTAGACTATGATGCTATTACCTCTGCCATGTATGTTTTGTCTTTTAGTGCTGAGGGTGACTGTTACCGGTGTGTGCCACCTGACGGAGGTATAGCGGCTGCTGCTCTAGGTGCTAGTGCGTCTGGTACTCCCCTTGGTACTGCGCCTGCTGAGGCCTTGCACACCTTCACGTTGGACTCCGGTGCCTCGCGCTGTTTCTTTCGTGACAGCACCACTCTCACTCCTCTCCCTGCACCTGTCCCGGTCAGACTGGCTGACCCCTCAGGGGGCCCGGTCGTTGCCCGTTCCTCCACTGTCCTCCCGTGTCCGGCGGTTCCGTCCGGTTCACTGTCAGGTCTTCACCTCCCCTCGTTCTCTACGAACTTGGTGAGTACCGCTGCCCTTCAGGATGCGATGGTCACTACCACCACTCCTGGGGGTCAGCGTGTGTCGATCTGCACGTCGCTTCGGGGTGTGTCGTGCCGAGGTCTTCGTCTCCGTCGTGGCGGACGACGCCATCACTGGCCGCGCTCGCGGGTTGCCCCACACTTCCGTGCTGCGATGCCTGTGGTGCAGGTTGTCCCGTCCCGGAGTGCCAGGTGCTTGTGATTGTGCTTGTTGTGCTTGTGCGGCGTCATTTTGCAGGGACGTGCGTTCGGCCGTCAGTGCCGCGATTTCTTCAGAGCTTTCGTGGAGTTGTCGCAGCAGCTCGTTCAAACGGTCCTGCATGAGCGTCGTGACGTCGATATGTTCAGCCATAACGAAGGGCGTCGGCTCACCTTAGTCTAGGCGCAGTCGTGGTTGCACGTGTTTACGAGAGAACGCGAGGACAGCGGCTCCTAGGTGCTAAGGGGCGTGAGTCCCTTCGAGTGAAAATTCAAAAGTTGATTTCTTGGGGCGCGGAGATGCGCGGTCCGAAAGAAAGTGGCTCTGATACCAAGTGTTACGGGTGCAATGAATCGAGGTAGCGAGGATTGCACTAGAGTGTTCAATGAGTACAAAATATGAGCGAAGGCATGAGCGAATACTTATACGCAAAAATGTGCAAACGGTAACGCGGTGCGTGCGAGCTAGCTAGTGCTACGCTGGCGCGAGGTTCGGGCTAGTCCCGAAGCGTAGGCCGACTCGGCTGCTCCAGCAGTGCGAGGTTTGGTGAAACAGTGCGCGCAAAGTTGGCGAAGCCCCGTTAGCAGTAACGGGCGAACAACGGTTGCTGCTGTACGCGATGTGGACGGCCGCGGTAAGGAATAGCGAGAAAATTCCTTACACATCTCAATTCATGAAGATTTCCTGAAATCGTTAGTTAAAACTTTTGCACTAGAATGATGATGACTGGGTTCCATGAACTACCATTTTCCACTCCTCCAACTCATGGGTGGAAATTCATCCATCCCCCAGCACTTTTTTTTGAAACACACTTTCAGGCGCACACTGTTGAAACCGCCCTTGTTGGTATCATGAATCATGATATGTGATAGACGACAAATCCTCGTCCTCATGCTATGTTGTATGGATTTTTGCACCTTACGCAAATTAAGCTTATTTGTCTGCCAAAATCACCCAATACCAAAAATAAATCAGCTACATAACACATCGCTCCCTCACTCGGCCGCAGCTGGTAGAATAGCCACGACCACGACCACAATCATAACCACAACCACAATCAAAATCGCAACCACGACCGCAAACACAGCCACAACCACAGTCAAAACCGCAACCACGACCGCAAACACAGCCACAACCATAGTCAAAGCAGCAACCACGACCGCAAACACAGCCACAAGCACAGTCAAAACCGCAACACCGACCAAACTGCTCAGGTGCGGCTCTGCCCGGCCCACCACAACCATTGCTGCTCTGGCAGCACCTGAGAAGACACATGCTCCTCCACTTTTTGGTCGTTTACCTGCTGCTGCTCCTGGTGGTGCTGCTGCTGTTGCTGAAAGTGTTGATGCTGCTGTTGCTGCTGGAGGAGTTGCTGTTGTTGCTGCTGCTGCTGTTGCAGGAGCACCATCTGGTGCATGTCACGAGCAGCAGCAGGCGCTGCCTCAACACCTGTGCAGCTCTCAAAGCTTCCCAGAAATACAGCCGCCCTGCTCCCTTCGGCTGCTGCTGCTGCTGTTCCTAAGGGGGAATCAGCAGGGGCTACAGAGGCAGGAGACACATAGGCAGGAGCTACTATGGGAGAAGCTACTAATTCAGCAGCGGCAAAGGGAGCAGCAACTGCTGCAGCAGAAGGCTCATAGCCTGGTGCCTTATGGGGGGTCACATTTTGAGTCGACTCAAATGAAGCGGAAGGGTTATAGCCTGGTGCCTTATGGGGGGTCACATTTTGAGTCGACTCAAATGCAGCGGAAGGGTTATAGCCTGGTGCCTTATGAGGGGCCACAGAGGCAGGAGGTGCCAAGTCGCTGCCGCTGCTGCTGCAGCGGCTGCCACAGCTGCCGGTGTTGTGCTTCTGCTGCCCCTGCTCTCTGCCTACCTCTCCCACATCATGCCAGGCACTGGAGGAACCATGACCAGTACCGGAGAACAAATAGGGTGAATTGCGAGATGGAATCTGCTGCTGCTGCTGCTGCTGCTGCTGCTGCTGCTGCTGCTGCTGCTGCTGCTGCTGCTGCTGCTGCTGCTGCTGCTTTTGCTGCATTTGCTGCTCACTTTGCCTGAGCAGGTATTGCTGCTGCTTCATCAGTCGTTGCTGTTGTGCTGCTGGCAGTAGCTGCTGCTGGAGTTGCTGCCGTTGCTGCTGCTCCTGACGCTCTAATTGGAACTGCAGCAGCTGCTTTTCTTTCTGCTCAAGGTCCGTTTGTGCATGAAAACCAAGTTGCTGCTGCTGCTGTTGCTGCTGCTGCATAAACGCCGCAACAGCACTGTCAAAGGCCATAGAAGTAGCACCAACAGCATGTCTCCCATCCGCATTACCACCACCATCACCATCACCAGCAGCAGCAGCAGCAGCAGCAGCAGCAGCAGCAGCAGCAGCAGCAGCAGTAGCAGTCTCAGCGACACCAGTGGCACCAATGCCGCCAGCACCTGGAACTGACAGGGTGGGGGACAGCCCAGCTACCGTGCCTGTTGCAGATGGGGTGGAGATGAACGGAGAAGGGAGGAAAGGAAGGTACGGTGAAGTGAAGGGTGAGGTGAAAGTAGCAGAATCCGAAGCTGCTGCTGCCGCTGCTGCTGCTGTTGGTGTTGCTGCTGTTGGTGCTGCTGCTGTTGGTGTTGCTGCTGTTGTTGCTGCTGCTGCTGCTGCTGCTGCTGCTGCTGGTGTTACTGGTGCAGCTGAAACGGCAGCAGGAGGAGAGGCTAGTGGCGGCGGATGCAGCGAAGAATGGGAGGGTATATGGAGGGTGGAGAACTGGAGGTTCGGAAAAACAGATTTGGTCGAAGCAGGTCCAGTGGTAGGAGGTTCGGTGACAGGTTCAGGCTTGGACGGGGCGAGGGGCGTTGACACAGAATGCTTCGGTTGCAGCTGGAACGGCAGCAGGGAAGTGGGGTGAGAGTGGGAGAGGGGGGTGGGATGAGTTGGGGGGAGGGAAGAGCCGTGATAGAGGGGGACGGTAGAGGGAGGAGAGAGGTGGAGGGGGAGAGGGAGGGTAGAGTTATCAGCGTGGCATGGGGCTGTAGTCTCCAGAAACAGCCCGAGCTGCTGCTGCTGCTGCTGTAGTTGAACCTTTTGTAGCCCCTGCCACTGGAGGAGCTGCAGTTGCTGCTGCTGCTGCTGCTGCTGCTGCTGTAGTTGAACCTTTTGTAGCTCCTGCCACTGGAGGAGCTGCAGTTGCTGCTGCTGCTGCAGCTGCAACTGGTTCTCTTGCTTCTTCTGTAGCTGTTGCCCCTGCTGGTGTGCATGCTGCCCCTGCTGCCGCTGCTGCGATTGCTCCTGAGGGTTCACCTGCCCCTGTAGCTTCTGCAACAGCAGCTGCTGCTGCAGCCGAACCTGCTGCTCCAGCAGCAGCTGGCGCTGCTGTGTGTCCATTGCTTCAAGATTTTGCTGCTGCTGCTGCTGCTGTTGCTGCTGCTGCTGCTGCGCCTGATGTTGTTGTTGGAGCCGCTGTTGCTGCTCCAGCAGCAGCTGGCGCTGCTGTGACTCCATTCCTTCAGGCTTCTGTTGCTGCTGCTGCTGCTGCTGCGCCTGATGTTGTTGCTGGTGCTGCTGTTGCGCCTGTTGCTGTTGCTGCAAGTGTTGCACCAGCAGCAGCTGCTGCTGCCGGAAGCTTTCCTGGATTTGCTGCTCTTGCTGCTGCTTCTGTTGCTCCTGCTGCTGCTGTTCCTCCTGTTGCTGCCTCAGTTGCTGCAGCTGCAGCTGTAGCTGAACCTGCTCCTCTTGCTGCTGCTGCTGCAACTGCCACTGGCGCTCCTGCTGTTGCTGCTGCTGTTGCTGCTGCTGCTGCACCATCCAATCGTGCTGCTCCCCGTGTTGCTTCTCAATGAAATCTCGCAGCAGCAGCTCTCCCAGAATGCGGTTCTTCCTGCCACAAGCAAATAAATAAAGTATTGAGAGTTGAGCGCAAAGAGCAGCAAAATAAGGCGCCTCAAAAGCCCCCAAAACGCGGTTCTTCCTGCCACGAGCAAATAGAGTATTGAGAGTTGAGCGCAAAGAGCAGCAAAACAAGGCGCCGCAAAAGCCCCCAGAATGCGGTTCTTCCTGCCACAACAGGAGCGGAGAGAAAAGGCCGGAGGAGCGTGAAAGCAGACGAGGAAGACGAGGGGAATGAGGAAGAGGATGGGAAGAAGAAAGAGCGAGGATGATGAGGCAGGTTCATAGTAGCGAGTGAGCCAAAATTTCCCAGCATTCAAAAACTCAAAAAACATCCCAGCTTTCAAAAACTCACCCTTTGAATATTTCTTTAATCTCCGGCTTCGCCTCATGCCCGCTTTCTCTCCCTCCTCCTCCTTTCCCTCCTCCCTGCCTTCCTCCCTGCCCCCCTCCTCCAGACACCATCGAGTCTCCACCATACCCCACAGATATCCGGCTTTCTTCCTTCAAAGAGATAGACTTCCCTACTACTCCTTTCCCCCCTCCTCCCCTTACTCCCCCTCCTCCTCCTCCCAACCCGTCCCCACCTCCCCCGTCCCCCCCTCCACTCTCCTCCCCTCCTATCCCCCCGCCCTCCCTCCTCCGTTTCCTCTTCTCCTCTTCTCCTCCTCCGCCCCTCCCTCTCTCCTCCCCTTCTCCCACTCTCCCTTCTCCCGCCTGACTTCCCTCCTCTTCTAACTCTGCCCATTCCCTCGCCTCCCCCTTCCCCAAAAACAGCCACTCACACGCCTCCAGTGACAGGTGTCCGAACGTCATTGGCTCCTGCCCGCTCGCTGCCTTTTTCCCTTCCCTCGTGCTGCTGCCCGCCCGCTTGGGCCCCAAGCCATAAGGAGGGCTTCCTCTGCCCGTTCCTCTGCCCGTTCCCCTGTCCGTGCTGATGCTGCCGCCTGTTGTTCCGTCTCCGCTGCTTTTCCGAGAAGATTTTCCTCCTGCTCCTCCCCCTCCCCCTCCCCCCTCCTCCTCCTGCTGCATTTGGGCCCAAAACTGCGGGTCTGGGGTGGCTGAAGATTGGTGCCATTTCCGGTGGATCTCCACGAATTTCCTGTCCAAAATCGGAAAATTCCCATAAAAATGGAAAGGGGGACGACAAGGAAGAGGGGAGAAAGGGTAAAGAAAACGGGAAGGAGGGTAAACGCGATAAGTGGAGGAGCAAAAGAATGGTGTAATTTTTGAGTCGACTCAATTTTTGAGTCGACTCGAAAACGGGAAGGAGGGTAAACGCGATAAGTGGAGGAGCAAAAGAATGGTGTAAGGCCAGGGATTCCGCAAGAGTTTGTGTTGCTGGCTTGAGAGGCTAGCGTGGAGGGCAATAAGCGTGGAAACAAGGAAGCGTGGAGAGGAGAAATCGCCTCGGCGAGGAGGCGAGGAGGCGAGAGGCAATAAAGTTGCAGCACACATATTGAGAAAGATGTTGTGGTTGCGGGGTTGATGTGGTTGCGGGGTTGATGTGGTTGCGGGGTTGATGTGGTTGCGGGGTTGATGTGGTTGCGGGGTTGATGTGGTTGCGGGGTTGATGTGGTTGCGGGGTTGATGTGGTTGCGGGGTTGATGTGGTTGCGGGGTTGATGTGGTTGCGCGGTTGATGTGGTTGCGGGGTTGATGTGGTTGCGGGGTTGATGTGGTTGCGCGGTTGATGTGGTTGCGGGGTTGATGTGGTTGCGCGGTTGATGTGGTTGCGGGGTTGATGTGGTTGCGGGGTTGAGAGCGGTGCGACTCACTTTTTGAGGAAGATGAAGCGGTTGCAGCACGCCTTGTTGTCGCGCAGGGGCAGGCGCCCGCTCTTTTCCAGCGCCCCCCACTGCTTCGTGCCCACTCGCAGCGCATGGCGCAGCAACACTGCGTCTTCCTGGGGGAGAGGAAACGTGGGGAGGGGTTGGGAGCGGTGGGGATAAACGAGCAGGAGAGTGGTGGGGGACCGTCCCGCCCTCTCTTCTCCAGCGCCCCCCACTGCTTCGTGCCCACTTGCAGCGCATGGCGCAGCAACACTGCGTCTTCCTGGGGGAGAGGAAACGTGGGGAGGGGTTGGGGGCGGTGGGGATAAACGAGCAGGAGAGTGGTGGGGGACCGTCCCGCCCTCACTTCTCCAGCGCGCCCCACTGCTTCATGCCCGCCCTCAGCGCATGGCGCGGCAACACCGCGTCTTCCTATGGGAGTTGAGTGGGGAAGGTGAAAGCGGGGAGGGGTAGGGTTGGGGGAGGTGAAGGGGGAGAGAGTGGGGGAGCATCTCGGCCGCTCCTCTGTAACGCGCCCCACTGCTTCGTGCCCACGCGCAGCAGCACCGCGTCCTCCTGGGTTCCCATGATGGGGGAAGGGGAAGGAAATGGGGAAGGGGGGAGATGAGGAGGGTAAGGAGTTGCTCTTCTCGTGGGACGAGGAAAACTGGCAGAGTTTAGGTTCAAAAGTCGCCCCACTGCTTCGTGCCCACTCGCAGCGCGTGTCCCAGCAGCACCGCGTACTCCTGGGGACGGCGGGAGGGAGAAAGGGGTTGAGAGGGAAGAGGGGGAAGGGGAGGGGGGAAATGACTTTTCTCTCCTCAACCGCAGAGCGTGGCGCAGCAGCACCGTCCTCGTCATGCGGGGGGCGTATGAGACGAGGGAGAGGGAGTCGGGGGAGCGGGGGAAGGGGGAAGGGTGGCGAGGCGATGACGTACTCTCCTCCTCGCCCGCAGCGCTTCTGTAGAACCGCGTTCGTTTGGAGACGGCGAGCCGGGGGAGGGTGGGGGAAGGAAGGGCGGAAGAGAGAGGGGAGGAGAGGTGGGGTGGAGGGAAGGGAGAAAGGGGGAGGTGGGAGGAGGGAAGAGACGGCTTACGCCACGTATGATTACGAGGGATGGCCCTCGTCGCACGATGCAAAAGGGCGAAGCCGCGGAGCTATGTCGTTGCCCGCAGGGGAGATTTAAAGCGTTTCGTCGTCTTGTTGCGCTTTTATCACGCCGCGTTTCTGCGCGACGCGCAAGACGACTCCTGCTGCTGAAGGCCGACCCCGCCGAGCATCATTGAATCTCGAGGCGCCTCCTGGCTTGTGGCAATCGTTCCCCTGTCGCCGCAACAGGGGAACGACTCGATGCGAATTTGCTTGCCGGCGGCGGCGGACGACACGATGCAAATCTCGATTCGCTTGCCGGCGGCGGCGGAGAGGGAAGGGACAGACGGCGGAGCGATTTGGGGGGGGGGATGGGGAAGGGATGATCGGCGGAACGCGCATTGTTGCGGCGTTGCGTCGACGCAACAGCCTATCAGCGCAGTGCACGGCGCAACAGCCCAAAGGAAATCCGCATCCGCACGCGCACGCGCGGGCGGAAGCGCGGGAGTCCAAGCTCATGGGAGGGGGCACGCGCGGGAGTACAGGCGGGCTCATGGGAGGCGGCGGACGAGATTCATATCCACAGGTGGAAGCGCGGGATTCGGAAACTACCGCCGCTTGATGGGTGCGGGATTCATGGGTGCGGGCGCGCTGATGAACGTTTAGTTGTATCCGTCGGATTCAGAAACTACCGCCGTTTGATTCTAGCCGCCATCCCCCCGCATAGAACCGCGTCTTCCGCAGCGGGGAATCGCTGTGGGGGTGTTGGGGGGACAGGGGTGGTGATAGCGTCGAAGCGGAGCCGAACGGAGCCGGCACTACACTGCTTTCTGAGTCGACTCAACAAATTACCCGCGTCGTGACGGCGCGGAACGACAAATGGCCGCTTTTTTTATTCTCAAAAACGCGCGCATGCCCTGCCATCGTTGCCGCATCGAGCCGGCATTACCCTGCCACGGCAGGTTTCGTAGTTACTAGGAGTAGGAATCTGGGAAGGAGGAGGAGTGGGAATACGAGCGAGCGCCGCGACAAGCGGGTGAACGTGTCCGCATCGCGGCCGAGGCGCACCTCTTTGGTCCACATGCGCGACGTCTGAATGAGCTGCAGCAGCGGGTCGAACTGCGCCGCGTCATCGTCGTTATCATGATTATCATGGCTGTAGATGAGCCCGCCTCCGCCGCCGCCGCCGCAGCCGCCGCCACCCGCCATCGCTGCATTAGTCTAAAATGCTGCGTCGCGTTCGATCTGGGAAAGTCTCCGTCACTGAACCTCCTAGCGGCAAAATACAGACAGATGCAGCAGGATCGCTTTCGCCTAGTCGACTGCCAACCCCTTGGATGTGTTCCTGTGCTTTATTAGCAGCCGCGCTTGTCGCGACGGCCTACTGGAGAAGATTCTAATCGAAGGCTTCGCGTGCATGATCACCCCTAGGTATTGGACAGCGAGGAGGCTGACTGGAGCTAGAGTAAATGACCAAGACGCGTTTGCAGGAAACAAGAAACCATAGTCGTGGCAAATTGACAGGTTTCGCGAGGACGGTTATGGCAGAACGAATAGTAAGCTTGCACATCCGTCTCTTAGGTGGTTTCGACGTCAATGCTCCCTTATGTTCTAGAGCAGCAGTGAAATGATGCCGCGAGTGGCAGCGGGAATAAGAAGAAATGTTTTGTGGGTCAGAGATTACTGTACGGCTGCGATCGAGTGGAAGTGCAACATGGACGGAGAGATGAAGTCGGAAAACGGTGATGCGATGCACGAAGCGGGTGAGGGCCTGGATGAAATTGTGGGCGATGTAGTTCTGCCGCGCGGGACCCTTCTGACCAATCATTCCTCGCGCGCTTCGGATAGACCACAGGACCATGCGAGTGGGCGGGCCATTCCAGTCGGTGTTTGGATTCGTGACGAACCGGATGGTCATGGCGCGACGAAAATCCCTTGTGCTCTTCGCTTGCTCGCCACCTGTCGTCGAACCCACGTAATGACTCGACATTGACGTTCACGACAGAAGTTGCAGCGCCAACAGTGCTCCCCCATGTCCAGCCTCGTCCTTTCTCCCCGAGCCGAGCTGCTTCGTGAAATTGCGACCACCACTGACCTGCTGCTGGTCTGTCAACGAAAACACCTGACGTGTTACGAGTTGTAAGGGAGAGTGCGCAGATTAACGAATAACGAGAATGTGATTGAACAGACTAATCAAATACAATGAAGGCACACGCTAATCTAGTGGCTAGCCTAGCTACGAGGGAACTTCAGGTGAGTGAGGTTGGGTGCAGGTTTGGCGAAGGGAAACGCCGAAGGCGACGCGAGGAGGCTCGGCATCGTTGATGTCGGCCAAACGTGCAGGGTCCGAAAATCGGGGCTGTACGCGAAGCAGTCAACCCCGATAAGGAATTAGGGAAAATTCCTTACCCCCCCCCCCCCTTTAAGAAAGGTGGTCAATATCCGCAGCTCGCTTGCGGGCGAGATAATCACCAATAAGCGGAGAGTCTTCAAGCGAAGCGGATGACACCCACGTGTCGTCTTCACTGGTGCGGTCAGTCCAACGGATGAGAAAATCCACGTGGCGATCAGCGGCATCCAGTCGTACACGATGCGCCAATATCTTGGACGGGTCGGGTGTTGGTTCTGGTACCGGTCGTGCCGTTGGTGCAGCGTGTTGTCATGCGATGTCGGTCGTGGCTGGCACGAACTTGCGAAGTAAGCTGACGTGGAAGGCGTCATGGATACGCCAGTCGTCGGGTAGCAGCAGCTTCGCGGTGACAGGTGTCACCATCTTGATTATCTTGAAAGGCCCACAAAATCGTGGCCGTAATTTCGATGGGCAGGGCAGTCGTAGGTTCTTCGTGTCGAATAGCACTAGTTTCCCAGCTGCCAAGATGAGTTCCCATCGTAAAAGGTCGGAGTATTTGCGGGAAGTGGTATTCGCCTTGCGAATTGCGTTCGCAGCTTTCTCTTGAACTTCTTGTAGTTCCGTCACAAATGTTTGTGACCGCGGAACCGGATTGTCGAGTGTAGTCGTTGTAGGCACCATTGGGTCCATCCCGTAATTTAAAAAGAACGGGGAGTGATTAGTCGTGCTGGACGGGGCATTGTTGAAGGCAAACTCCAACATCACGAGTGAGTCTTCCTAGCGAGCAGGGTCGGGGCAGTTTGTCCTTATCAACTGCTCCATGGTCTGATTGGTCCGCTCGGTCTGGCCGTCCATTTGCGGGTGGTATGCCGAGGAGAACTGTAGCTTTGTGCCGTACTGCGCCCACGTTTCCTTCCATAATTTCGACGTGAACATCGGATCTTGGTCGCTGATGATCGCCGAGGGAATTCCGTGCAGTCGCACGACCGTTGAGATGAAGAGGCGCGCAGTTTCTTCGGCTGTGATTGTTGTACGACACGGTGCGAAGTGCGCCATTTTTGTGAGACGATCGACGACGACGAGAACAGCGTCGTTGCCGGACGGTCCAGCTGGCATCCCCGTGACAAAATCCATTGTCACTTGTTGTCACGGTCGTTCGGGTGGCTCGAGGGGTTACAGCAACCCAGCTGGCCGTTGACGTGTCGATTTCATGGCTTGGCACACCCTGCATGAGGACACCATATCGCTGCACGTCGTTAGAGGAGTCAGGCCAATAATAGTGACGGTGCAGTAATTTATGGGTTTTATCAACCCCGAAATGTCCGGAAAAGTTGGAATCGTGGACCTCTTGGATAAGGAGTTCACGCAGCAGCCGGTAAGCGGGAACCCAAATCCGGTCAGTTCCGGCTTTTAGGTAATAATCCCCTTTATGCGTAGTGGCTTACTGATGATGTCCAGTCGTGAAGAACGGGTCTGTAGTGTAGCCGTGGGTGAAGAGTCCCGTAAGTAATGGGTTCGAATGGTGAATGAGTACTGCAGCGGATTGTACTGTCGGTCGGGTCAGGGCGTCGGCGATGTTATTTGCCCCCTTCTTGTACGTGATGCGGTAGGTGAAGTGGCTCTCCATGTAGTCCAGCCACCAAATCTGTCTTGGGTTGAGGTTGGGCTGAGCTCGCAGGTATTGTAGGGACTTGTGGTCCGTGCGAACAGTGAAGTCGGCGCCCACCAGGTAGCATCGCCACAGTTTAAACGCGTGTATAATGGCGAGCATTTCCTTGTCGTGAATCGGGTAGTTGCGCTCGGCTGCCTGCAGCTTGCGTGACTCGTAAGCTATCGGCTGCAGCCCGTTCCCGAAATCTTGGAGTAGTACAGCTCCGATGGCGAAATCAGAGGCGTCGGTGACGACTTCGAATGGCCTCGATGGGTCGGCGATGCGCAACACAGGAGGGGAAACCAAGATTTTTTTCAACTCCTGGAAAGCCGCCTCTGCCTCCCCCCCCCCCACAAAATTCCTGTCCTTGTGTAGCAGGTCGGTTAGCGGGCCGGTTATCCCCGCCATATTCGGGATAAATCGCCGGACGTAATTCACAAACCCCAGAAAAATCTGTAGTTCCGTGACGTTCGTCGGGGACTTCCTGTCAAACTTATATGCTATAGTCTGTTTAGGCTGTAGTGGGGTAGACACTATGGGGTACAGTTTCTTAGGGTTTCATATTTGTACCCAACTCATTTCCTAGTCATTCATTCCTGTTTCTTCACATGGTATAGAGCTGGTTCCCTACTGGGACCGATCCTACCCAAGGGCCCACCACTTCAATTTTTTTTTTTTCCTAACCTGCCCGAAGCGCCCTTGGCGCTCGGCCTGCCCTAACCTTTTGCGGCCCCTTAGCGGCCTGCCCTGCCCTTCGCGGCCCCTTCGCGGCCCCTTCGCGGCCCCTTCACGGCCCCTTAGCGGCCCCTTCGCGGCCCCACCCCGTCGCGACCCCGTCGCGACCCCGTCGCGGCCCCGTCGCGACCCCGTCACGGCCCCGTCGCGGCCCCTTCACGGCCCCGTCGCGGCCCCGTTGCGGCCCCGTCGCGGCCCCTTCACGGCCCCGTCACGGCCCCGTCGCGGCCCCTTCACGGCCCCATCACGGCCCCGTCACGGCCCCGTCGCGACCCCTTCACGGCCCTGTCGCGGCCCCCCGTCGCGGCCCCCCCCGTCGCGGCCCCTCGTCGCGGCCCCCCGTCGCGGCCCCCCCGTCGCGGCCCCCCGCTCCGGCCCTGCCCCGACCCTGCCCCGGCCCTGCCCCGGCCCTGCCCCGGCCTTGCCCCGGCCCCGTCGCGGCCCCGTCGTTGCCCCGGCCCTGTCGCGGCCCTGCCCCGGCCCTGTCGCGGACCTACACCGGCCCTGCCCCGACCCTGCCCCGGCCCTGCCCCGGCCCTGTCGCGGCCCTGCCCCGGCCCTGCCCCGGCCCTGCCCCGGACCTGCCCCGGACCTGCCCCGGCCCTGCCCCGAACCTGCTCCGGCCCTGCCCCGGACCTGTCCCGGCCCTGCCCCGGCCCTGCTCCGGCCCTGCCCCGGTCCTGCCCCGGCCCTGTCGCGACCCTGCCCCGGACCTGCCCCGGCCCTGCCCCGACCCTGCCTCGGCCCTGCCTCACCAGTCGCGGTAGCCTACCCAGCCGCCCCTGGTAAGAGCACTGCCGTGCTGCGCTGCCCTGCCTAGCCACGCCGCTTCGCCGAGTCGCACTGCTGCTGCTGCTGCTGCTAGCCTACTGCTTCTGCTATCATGGCTAGCCCCACAGTTCTTTCCTTCGATGGTGAGGGTCGAGCGGTCGATTTTGAGGTCTGGCTAGATGATCTGCAGCTTTTCCTACAGTGCGATAGCAAGGATGGTCTCTCGCTGTTCGATCTCACGTCTGGCGCCTCTCCTGCCCCTGCTGCTGATGCTGACAGTACTGTTCGCTCACAGTGGACCACGCGCGATGCTGCTGCCCGCCTTGCTGTGCGTAGTCACCTACTGCCTACTGAGCGCGCGCACTTTAGTCAGTACAAGAGTGCTAAGACTCTGTACGACGCTGTAGTTGCACGCTACTCTTCCCCTGCTACTGCTGCCCTTAGCCGTCTCATGCTGCCGTACCTGTTCCCTGACCTCGCTGCTTTTGCCACAGTCGCTGACCTTATTACGCACCTCCGCACTAGTGACACCCGCTACCGCGCTGCGCTTCCTGCTGAGTTCTGCGCCAAGAACCCCCCCCCCCCCATGTACATCACCCTCTACTACCTAGTCACTCGACTCCCTGACACCCTTCGCTCGGTCAGGGACCACTTCCTCTCTCTTTGCCCCACCACTCTCACCGTTGACCTCCTCGAGGAGCG